TTACATGGCAGGTACATTACAATGTCCAAAGACCTCACTATACACACAGCGAAATTTCCTCCCATCAGCTCCCATATGGCTCAGCTTATTGGATATATGCCCCTTAACCGAAGCCCAATGCTTTAGACTCTTACTTTGCTGAAAGAGTCATCAAACACAACCCACCCCCACCCCATCCCTGAGTACAAGGATCTGGACTTTCGAACCCCAAAGTGTGTGCTTTCTCCAGAGACACAGGCATTGCTGCAACCCTGGTATCTCTGCTTTTCCCTTTGCAAGAAACTAGACTGCTCCCCCGGCTATAGATGTCTTTGTACTTGGCCCTAAGACAGTACTGTGCTTCAGAGGGCAACATTTTCTAAATACTGTAGGAAATAGATACACGAAGAATCGTGTAGTAGACCAATACCTTGAGACCCAGCAATGAAATAACAGAGACTCTTTCAGTAATTTACCACCTAGCAAAAGCCAAAACTACAAGGGTCTTCTTCAATACTGTACTTTTACTGTAACCAAAAAAAAATCCATCAACAGCCTCATAAATCAACAAATTAGTGTATCTCAGCCTAAAGAGAAGAGAAAACTCTGATAACCCAAAAAGATTCCTGGTCTTTTATAATAAGCCTATAGGGATGTTAGGGGAGTCAAAATAGAATACCCTTCTGACGCAGGAAACAGTGCAGCTGTGTTAAGTGTTTTAAAACCTATTTCTTGAGATTATGTCACAAAGGTACATAATAGACACAATAATTATTTATAAAATCTCAGGAATCTATATTGTCCTACATACAAATTAAAAAGAATTTCCTCCCTTAGCTCAGGGAGTTTAGCTCAAAATGTCCTTACATAACCCAGGAGAAATGTAATATGCTGTTTTGGAAGAATGTACCAAGACTTAAAATTAATATCTGTTATGGTCAGCAATTCTACTTATAGAAATCCACCCATTGTGTATTCACTGCAGCTGTTTACTTCAGTAGCTAAAAGACTAAGAACAATCAATGTCCATCAACTGGGGAATGCAGAAATGAATTATGTATCTAATGGACAAGTGGGAAGACAGTTCAGCTATCTTCTCATGTATGCACACAACACATCTGGAAGAGTCTATCACCAGCAACTGTCTCTGGTGTTCCCACCCAGAAAGAAAAGGAAGCTAGGACACAGGAATTTCTTTTCACTAATCCTCCCTTTATCCTCCATGTTTACTAAGCACCGACTCACAAATTAAACACATTTTTTTTTCTTGAAATGGGAAATACCCAGTATTGTGCTGAGTGTCATCAAAGGAGCCGTGAATATCAGCTGAGTATCCCCTGGGCAAACCCCAGGCTTCCTCCCCATGAGCCTTGAAAACCATCCCTACCCTTTCATCCCAGGAACAGTCCCACATGAGGGGAACTCTCTTTTCAACATGGCGTTAATATCCAGAGCAATAGATTCAAGCAAAACTATGAGACTGGATGGAGTACAAAACATCCCAACAGCAAAAGCACTTTGCCCCTGCCGGAGGGGGCAAGTTAGAAAGGGAGAACTGTCATCTTAGCAAAGATTAACTGACATATTTCCCTTGACTAGGGTGGGAAGAACCTTTCCCACCCTTCTGGTACAACTGATGCTGATGCGATGCCGTTCCTTGCTCCCATCAAAAAGAACTTCCGTCTCCTTTAGAGACTGGCTAAGGTGGTTCCATAAAAATCCTAGTGCAACCCCACTCTGCCAGCACAGCCTAACTCAGATAGCTTACCTCTCCTGAACTGTGAGCCACTTCCCAGGTAGCTTTGCTTCACCACTTACTTGTATGGTGACTGCCTGCCCGGGGACACTTTCCAGGTTCTAAAAACTTTACCACTAAAAGATGAAAGGGACAGCACTCAAGAGTTGGGACACTTTGGGGTCTGTGACTCATGCCTCAGAGTGGAGTCCTCAAGTACGAAAAGCTCATAAAATCAGTAACTTCACAGAAGAGACACACAATTTGTCCACAGATCACCTCTGGAAAGCACGTTTATTTCATTTTTTTTTTTTAATGCAGTCATTCATAGCTAAGTTATCCACTTTTAGCAAGGAAGAGTTCGAGAGGAAGACACCAGGGCCTAGGAGCCGGAGACTGGGGGTATAGGAACAGCAACTAACAAAGAGCTGAGAGAAGAAATGAAACCATGAGGCTGAAAAACCTAAGGGAGCCCTCTAATTCCTGGTCACTCCCCCCACCACACACACACACACACACACACACACACACACACACACACACACACACACACCCCTAGTTTGGACAGATAAGATCTCAAGCCTAAGATATGCAGAGCTGACTGAATTGTCACTCAGTGAAGCATTTAGATGGAGGGAAAAGGTCATAAAAAGGCCATGCCTTGATCGGATCAAATAGGCATTCTTGTGTGGGACTGAGTGGAAGGACACAGAAAGGAGGGCCGCCTGCTCAAAGCCGAGGCTCACACCGGTGACACAGGCTACCTACCACTCTCAAGTGAAAAGAAGCCACACCAAGGGAAAATACACACCTCGGATAACATACAGGGTCACGGAAAACCCCCCAGTGGATACTGGGTACTCCAGAGGAAGACGTGGGAGGGAAGGGTGACAGTGGGGTACAAAAGAATTCAGGGAGGAGGAAGATGGCTAGTTCCACTACTATTAATTGTGGTGTTATTGTCCTGTGTTATCTATATCAAAGCTGATCAATCAACTATTAACACTTCATTGGATAACAATTACATTTCTATATATAAAGATAGCTTTTAAGAAAAGACATTATTTAAAGCAAAAAAAAAAAAAAAGCTGAATGAAATCTCCCCCCAAAGTCATTTCTTAGTCCTTCTCTCTCTTAAATGTGATATAATCAAATAACTATTATTGACTATGAGCCAACCGAAGGAAAAGTAGGAGAAAATGAAATGTTACACCCAAACACCTTACCCACGGCAACCTCCAAATGCCTGCTGTCGGGGTCCAGGAAAAGGGCTGGTCCTGACAGCTGGGCTCCAGAGCACTGTGAGCAGAGCAGCCAGTTTCCATGTGACCTATATTCCACTGGCCACACCAACATTCCCCAACAACCACTGGGAGAGGCACCCACCCACCCGCTCAGCTAATGACACAGTCAAAGCTGGGGTAAGCCAGGAAGAGACAGTCAGTTTGTTATTTTTGGCTCCAGAGCTATTAAGGTAACTCATAGTCACCTGTGTCCCATACAAGTTTGACAGAAAGAACTGGGCAGGAAGCACCTATGGGAATGATACAGTCCAAATGATGCCAGAGACTTGTATTCCCAAGGGATCCCCAAAGATGGCTCTGACCTCTCTAGCCTTCCTCACCTGCTGAAAAGGAAGGAGTCAGGAAGCAACTTAGCATTTCAGCCCATTTTCCAGGCTCGAGTCACCACTATGGATTCTCTGCTGCTATTCCTGACCCACTCCACAGTCCCAGCCTGATTTCTGCCATGGCCATCTTGCCTGGGTGGGGAATCAGTTCCTCAGCTGTGAGAAGGTCAGGCTTCTTAAGAGTCCAGTCACTTATCTGACACCTTTATCAGTGCCCTGCCAGGTGCCAAACACCCTGCCTCCTTCCCACATATTTTCCTGAGGACTATGAGAAAATGCTACCTGACCAGGTCCATCCCTTCCAGAGTTGCCCTTATAGTCACCTGTCTCAGTCACCTGCAGGGACAGCTGTACTTCTGAGCAAAAACAAGCAAACACCTCTCTGGAGGCCCAGCTCCATGACTCCCTGCTCTAGATAGGAGCTCCTGGTGCCCCATCCCTGAGTGATTCTTCTAGTGTGGCATCAACCCTGCACCTGGGGAAAGCTGAGCATTTGACAGAAGCCATGACCAAACTTCAAAGAAAAGGCGGTCAGAAGGGATAAGATGGGAAAGTGTTTGGAACAACTAAGGAAATAAAATGACTTAAGAGTTTCTTGGGCTCCAGAATGAGAATAGATCATTTTCTTCTCCCAAACAATATGACATCCTCTCAGTAACAAAGGGGTATAAGTCTTGAAAATATGTCAATGGTCAATGTGAAGTTTCCAAATGTGTTCTCATGGCAGCAAAAAGCACAGATCTTCATCTAAAAAGAAGAAAGTCCCTATCTTCCAGAGTTCACGGAAGTGAAGGGGAAAGGGAATGGCGGTGATGGCCACCACTAGCTCCCAGGGCTGGGCCTTAAACTCAAATCAACTGCCACAACATTCCATGCCTGCTTCCCAGCAACACTGGAGATTTTGAATATGCAAAGCGGCAGGCATCGACCTGGAAGAGCGGCAGGACTGTAGGCTCCTATAAATAGATATGCTTTGGAAAACTTCTCAAGTGCATCACCAGAAAACTTGCTCATGGGCAGTGGGAAAACCATTCTTCCAGTGAACACCACTGACTGCCACAAGCCGCAGTTTATAAAGGGGGGGAGGGGAGCAGCCAAAATGAAGGGGGAAAGTGGAGACATCTACTTATAAACAGCAACATGGTGCAAATCAATCGGGGCTGAGAGTCTCCGGAGAGGCCCCACGGTGAGAGCCCTAAGGACTCTAAGTCCACCTTAGCGTGGGCATCAAACACTGACTCTGCAGAGCAGAGACTTCCAGCTTGGGAGGAAATGTGGGGGACTGAGAGAAAAGCAGAGGGGGCTACATGAAGCAGTAATAGGGGCGCCTGAAGAGGGATGTGAAGGTCAGTTCTGCCGATCTCTCCCCAGGACTGGACGGGTCAATGAACAGCAGAGACCGGCAAGCACCAAGTGTGGAGCGCTGGGAAACACAATGCACTGACCCCTAGGGACTGATAGGGCAGTGCCTGCCTGGTGTTACCCAGAGGCAGGATGTGAGTGACTGGAAGCTCAAAGGGACTCCGGGCTGTTGGAGCGCTCTAAGGAAAGAAGAGATTCGGGTCGCGGTTTCCCAGGCTTGTGGCAAACCAGAAACTGAGGCGTTGGGCTGGGACCAGAGAAGTCCCGCAGGTGCTGGGCGGGGCTCTCTCTCACCTGCGGAGCACCAGGAAGCTCACGGTCAGCAGCAGCAGGAGTCCGAGTGTGCGGCCCGGCCTCCGCCGCAGGCTCCACGTGGGCATCGCGCGAACGCTGCGGGTAGACACCCGGGTTCCCACTCCAGCAGCACTCCGCGGCGCGCCAAAGCCTTGGCCGGGTGGGGCGGGGCCGCACACGGGTCACCCGGGCAACCGGGCTACGGCCAGCCCCGCCCGCTGGCGCCCATTGGCTGAGATCTGAGGCCACGCCTCCGCGCCCGGGCCTGGCACAGACGAGGGACCCCGCCGCGGCCAAAGGCGAAACAAGGCCGGGGGGGCGGGGCAGGAGAGGGGCGGGGCGAGGGAGGAGAGGGCGAGTGGTCTCAGCTCAAGTCCAAACTTGTTGGGGTTCTCCAGAGTTCCCTGAGTTTAGGCAGGAATCAGGTACCTAATAGTTACCAACTTCCCGGGTCTGCCTGCCTCCCACTCTGAGTCGCAGAGGCACTTAAATACAGAGTCTTTTCCTGCGTATGAAATGCAGACAGGTGCAGAACTACTGGACCTGTGTCGCTGTGTCTTTGAATACTCAAACTCTGGGGACAGTCACTCCCCACAGCATTATAGTATGAAACAAGGATTAAGTGTGCCTGACAAGAAGGTGCAAAGAAGAAGAAAAAAAGGCCTTTTAAAACAACTCAAAGTTTGAAAAAGAAAAATGGTTTTGAAGTAATAACTCATGTTAAAAGCCAGGACACTAGAATTTCCTTAAGACATTTGATGGCTGAGTGTAATTCGAGTTTCAGAAGCACTAAGGTGAAGACCAAAATATTCTGCTCATGGTTCCACGGATTGGTTTAGGCCCTGACTCCCAGAGTATTCAACTTCTACTTTTAAAAGAATCATACAGTAGATTTTACATATTTGACTGGAATGATGGCTCGGCTGTTAACAGCAGAAGACCTGAATCCGTTTCCTAGTGTCCACACTAGTGGTTCACAACAGCCTGGAATTCCAGCTCCAGCGGCTCCAGTGCCATTTCCTGGCCTCCACTGGCACCTGCACTCAGACCGCGCGCGCGCGCGCGCGCGCGCGCGCACACACACACACACTCACATAATTAAAAATAAAACAAAAAATAATTATTACATTTTAGGAAAGGCTGGATATAGTTACTCTGACACAGAATCGTCCCCACGGACACCATGTGACATTTGGGTGGCATTTATGCTTCAGCATAAGGCAGTTTTTCAGAGTGTGGGTCTGTAGAGTATCTCTCCAGCTGCAGTCTGAATTTTGCACTAACACATGAAGCTGGTAAGTATTAAGAGAAATTTCAGTTCTAAGAACAAAGATAAAAAGCTTGCTTTTGTCTCCCCTTTCTCCAATTTACTACTTTAGCAAGTATTTAGCTATTTAAGAAAAAAGGATCCTTCTTGACGTTACATGGACCAAGTGTCAGGGGTTGGCCCAGATATCACTCTGCTCGGGGGAGCTATGTCCAGTTATAGTGGCGAGTGTCAGGGCTCATAAGGAGAGAAAATAAGAATACGGGGGAATTTCTGGACTAAGTTAGGACCAGTTCAATCATAGACAACAAGGAAACAGGAAATCCTAACATGAAAATTTTTAGCCCTGGAAAAAGAAAAGAACTAAGTTGAGAGCCAGACAAGCCTCCAAAATCCAAATAATGTGGTAACAGCCGTGGAAGGAGCCTGTGTACACCCATGGAATGCACAGAACTATGTCTGTGGCCTTCAAAGTCCAAAACCATCATTCACAACCTCAGCCTTTGGAAGAATGGGTGACCATGATCTAACTCAACACCATCATATTCATTTAAAAATATGTCAACAAGGGCTGGGGAAGGCTCATGGGGCCTCAACCCTACACGAGGAACTACAGGAAACTAAGGAATGCTGAGAACATAAGAAATAGTCTTCTCCAGGGAAGAGCACCCCAACTGGTTATCCAATATGAAGCAGTCAGGCCTGTGTGTAAGTGTATAACAACAATGCAAAAAGAGACCCTGAATTTAAAAGAGAACAAGGAGGGATATATGGGAGGGTTTGGAGTAAGGAAAATAGGAAAAGGAAGCGGGAAATGATGTAATTACATTATAAACTCAAAAAATTTTAAATAAAAAATAAACAGCAAATGTTTACTAACCACTTGTCAAATGCTAAACACCATTTCAGACACTTTCAGGTGCTTTGGATATATCAGTGGACACAAAAAGACAACAATACTTTCCCTTCAAAACTCATTATTCTGGCTGGGAAAGAACACTGACAAAAATTCACATCGTAAAGCAGTACACTGTAGAATATGTTTAAAGGTAATAAACACCAAAACAAGGAAGTAGATGCGGGGAGGTGGGTTTCAAGGGAGCTCTGGGGGGGGGGGGGGGCTGCAGAGAAGAAAGACTCCCTGGAGGTAGGGGTTAGATATTAGTTGAGGAAAGGCTGCCCAAGCAGAGCAAACAACCAGGACATGGGCACTGAGGCAGGACCAGGACCAGGCATTCCAGTTCTAGAAGAGTCAAGGATGCCAGTGAGAGGAGTCAAAAGGCAGAAAATGAGGCCAGAGAAATGCAGAAACCAGGCTGGGTAGGGCCTAAGAGTGGGGGCCAGAATCCTGCGTGAAGTGGTAGTCACTTCAGGCTTTGGACATGAAATTGATGATTTAGGATGATCATTCTGGCCGTTGTGTTTAAGAATCTTAGGAGCAGGAAAGACTAAGGGAAAACAGATGATTTGGGATATTGCTATAATCCATTCATTACTCAGCCTTCTGTTACTATCACAAAACATCTTTAAAAATTAATTTATAAGACTGAACCCCAGTTCCTTAGAGAAGGCACGTCTTTATTCAAACGCCGTAGACTACCAGGCCCTTGACTGAACAGAAAAATGTGAATGAGGTGATATGGGATGTAATACATGAAGAGCCAAAGTTATCTTGAATTATGTTTTAACAGCCATTTTTTTTTTTATCATCCTGCCTATCTAACCTAATACCCATGACTTCTATGTAAGTTCGTGGAAAGGGTTGCTAAGCTGGTACTGTCTAATCTCCATTAACCCAAAAGCTAAGAATGCAATAGCATCTGAGACCTACAGATTTGCAAGGTTCGTTATAGCTCACCTGCCTGATGACACGTTCGACAAAAAAGTAACTAATACAGACGTCTAAGTGATATTATTATCATGAGAACTGATGCTGGCTCAGAAGAGAAAGACAGCAATGGGGGGATGAGACATGCTTCCCTTCTGGATATGTTTGAAAAGACAAGTGGATTTCTACAACCCAGTATGTGTGGAGTGGGAAATAAAGAGGAATAAACAATGTTAACATATTAAGCTTGAGAAACTGTAATAATCGGGGCTGTCATTGGCTGAAACAGGAAGGCTACGAAGAGAATAAATTTACTGGTGGGCATCAGGAGCCAGGCTTTTGCTTACTGAGTTTGAACTGTGTGTGAGACATACAAGTGGCGCTAAATAGAAATACAGGTATAGTATTAAATATAGAAGCCTGATGTTGAGAAAGAGTCTGGGATGAAGATTCCAATTAAAGGTTTTACAGAATAATACTTTGGACAAGGTCACCAATAAACAAAGCATGACTGATAGAGAGGACCAAGCACAAACTTTGGTACATCTAATAAGGAAAGAGAAGAAACTCATTGGGCAGAAGCAGCAGCACCTGGGAAATAAGAGAAGTCAGAATGTGGGGTCTCCTGAAAGTCATGAGAACCAAGTTCCCAGGCAGAGGCAGTGATGGACTAGGATAATGCAGCTGCTGAGAATGGACCAATGTGTGTGGAATGCATCAGACACTGGTGCGCTGAACCAACCTGTGCTGATCTGAGATACACAGTGAGTATCTGTGTTTGCCCAGCATGGGCAGCTCAAAATAAAAACATGTTAAGAGTCTGGTGATCTAACATACTGGTAGAGCATTTGCCTGGAAAAGCCCTAAGGTTGATCCTCAGTGCCAGGAACACATAACAAAGACAAAACTGAATAGATTATTTAAGATGATGTGATAGTCTTGGTTGTCAACTGGACAGATTCTAGAATCACTTAGTAGGGACTCCTCAGACACAGCTGTGGGGGATTTTCCTGATTAGGTCAGCCTCTGTTCATGCCAGCCAGGGATTGTCTTGATTAGGTTAGAGTGGGAAGCTCCACCCTAAAAGTAGAAGGTGCCACTCCTTGTGCTCAGGTCCTGGATGCATAAAAAAGAGAAAGATAGCTTTGTGCCTGCATTCGTCACTCTCTTCTTCCTGGCTGCAGACGTCATGTGACCAGATATCTCAGGTTCCTGCTCCCTTGACTTCACTGCCATGATGGACTATGCCCTCACACTGAGAGCCAGAACAACCCATTTCTTTCCCAAGTTGCTTTTGTCAGAGCATTTTATCACAGCAAGAGGAAAACAGCCAAGACAGATGGCAAACATAGACAGCCTCCTTCACCTTCCTGCAAGCTTCCTGCACCTTCCACCATGCCTGCCTGCTACTCTGCCTTCACCACAGTGATGGGTTGTATCCCCTCTGGAACCATGAGCTAATACAAATCGTTTTCACCTCTAAGCTGCTTTTAGCCCTGGCGTTTTCATCACAGCCAAAGAAAAGTGCCTAACACACCTGCTGACCTGAGTTTGATCTCCAGACCCACATGGTAGAAGGAACAACCTTACTCCTGAAGGTTGTCCTCTGACCTAAACACACACAAAAAAAATGCAAATGATAAAATACAAATGCTGTGGGATGTTCTGTATGTCAAATATGTTGCTCTGATTGGTTAATAAATAAAACACTGGTTGGTCAGTAGCCAGGCGGGATGAAGTATAGGCGGGACAAGGAGGAGAAGAATTCTGGGAAGTGGAAGGCTGAGTCAGAGAGACACTGCCAGCCGCCACCATGACAAGCAGCATGTGAAGATGCCGGTAAGCCATGAGCCACGTGGCAAGGTATAGATTTATAGAAGTGGGTTAATTTAAGATATAAGAAGTTAGCAAGAAGCATGCCACGGCCATACAGTTTGTAAGCAATATAAGTCTCTGTGTTTACTTGGTTGGGTCTGAGCGGCTGTGGGACTGGCAGGTGACAGAGATTTGTCCTGACTCTGGGCCAGGCAGGAAAACTCTAGCTACATA